CAGAGAACAAACCTACATCAAAATAGTGTTATTAGGTATTAGGTTAGGTAACTTATCCTCAGACCATGAGGATATTTCCAAGATATCAAGTAAAATAAGCTTGTCAACTATACACGCTTAATATTTAATTCCAGTTACCGACAATTGTGTATCTAGTAAATGATGATTTTAAACATTAACTGTGAAACTTTTAATAACTTGATAACTGAATAGTAGTAGAATTTATTCTCCTATCATTACTACTCAGATTACGTTAAGTGACTTTTCATTTGATCATGACCTGTGGAGTTCAACCAGGTGAGATCGTATCTCACTGAAGACAATAATGGGTGGTGGCGCAATTTCATGGATTGGTTGAAGTTAGACATTACCATCATTGGATGTTGGTCGGCTCAGTGGTCAAGTGTTTAAACGTTTGCGCGAAAACCGATCGGTCCTGGATTTGAGTCTCACAAGCTAGGTCATGGAAGAGTACTTCTGAGGACTCCCATACTAGGTCGAAACGATTTGCCAGACATTCCATGGTGGTCAAGCTTAGATCGACTCATCATTTCAAACTAGTAAATTACTAAAATCTCCGCGAAACCCCCCTTCTGATAATTATTTAAATTAGTTAACCTATATAGTCGTTTATAAGATCAATTGATAGGCGCTTATAGCATTATCTTGATATTGTTATTGTTATTATCTACATCTGACCTTGACTTTCAATAGACTAAATTTATGTAACTCATATGCGTATATATATGACACATTATGTAACTATCTACTTGTTATCTACTCAATTGTTTATTTAAGTAGTTAATTAATTATTCATTAAATTAACTAGCCAATTAACCAATATAGTAAGCATTGGACTACACACACACACACACTCTCTCTCTCTCTTCATTTACATAATTTATATTATGGAGTAAATGTAAATTTATATTCGGCTAAACACAATTCTACAGTGGTAACCAATTGTATACAGTTTACTACTCATAACATATACAGTCATAGTGACTATCATTTAGTCATTTTACAATCACATATCCATATATAGTCCATGTTTTACATAGGTGTTTATGTTTAAAAATTTCGCTACCGAACTGACTCATAGTTATAATGGAATTGAGGTGATTTGAATAAATAAGTGAAAACAAAGAAGAAGAAGAAGAAGAAGAAGAAGGATTGGAGTTAGACATAAACACCATAGGATACCGACTCAGTGATTTATCGGTTAAGTGCTCTGGCGCGAGACAGATAGGTCCTGGGTTGAAATCTCGCTTGCGAGGCGGCAGGATGGTGGTTGCACACTTTTGAGTAGTCCCATAATAGAACGAAACGGCCATCCAGTGTTTCCAGGTTTTCCCTGGTGGTCAAGCTTCGATTGACTCATGATTTCAACTCTGAAAATACAAAATCTCCATCAAAAGCCCCCCTTCTGAGAAGAAGGATGAAAAAGTGAAGAAACAGAACACTTTTCAAATTTATCGTTTATCATTATGTACAACATTGATTGGTAAATCGAACGACTACGTGTGTATATTCACATTGTGTTTTTTGCAATGATTTACTCATTGCTCTCAAATGATCACGCGTATATAGGCTCTACCGGGGAAGTCCTACTCAATACCTTCTCGTGTCAGTACTGTTTTTTACGAAAACGTGAGGACAAAAAGCCAATATGCAGAGGTTTAACCAGGTTGGTGGACACGGAAAGTTCAACTAGGGGAGTTGGAAAACTCTCATTCCAAACTAACGGTGCGCATGGGATCCAGGATCCTGAAGGAACAAATGGCATATGAACCAATCGTTGGTCATCGGCTACCATAGGACTGCATCTCCTCAGGATGCTCCACTGCCTTGTGGATCTGAACTTTACGTCAAAGGCTCAGGGTGTGGCCCCCTAAGAAAACCACTTGTTACAGTTTGGGCACCTGGGCAGTATCACAGCCCTATACAAATCAAATGAGATTTGTGTGGCGCATATGTATCTTGTGCTTCCTTGTACCAATATTTATGTGTATAAATAAAATAAAATAAAGTGATTTATTCAATTTTCATTGTGATATGACAATATATGTAGAGAATAATTAAAACTCAGTGTTTAAAAGTGGTCAGACGTACATATGACTGTCATTACATGTGATCGAGTCCTGGATTTCTATGTACTGGTTCTAAGTCAGTGAATGAGAACACAGGTGAGGACAACCAGGTGTATTCGAATACAAGATTACAGAACAAATTAGTGAAATCTGAGAATCATACAGTAAATTCTTCATTTACAAAATGTCAATCAACTGTCTCAGAATTCCATCTTCTTTCAATCCATAGCCATCACACTCTATTCTCGTTCTCTCTCCTTCAATCTTTTTAACCTTCTGCCCTCAGGCATTTCACTTTCTATTGATGATGCATACTACTTATATCTGTTGATATCAGTAGCACACAGCACACAACATACTACATTATCGAACCACTAATCATATTTCATCGGTGTTTGTTTTCGCTTCCTTCGCAACAGAAATTCATCATGAGCTACAATACTCAATAAGATGTAATAGGATGAATTTATGTTATTCAGTTCAGATCTTTATTATCGTTCCCTTCAAAATGAAAAAAAAGAGGACAACTAATTTTACGTAACTTATTATGGTATTGTAGTGTGCACTACTTATTCAGACAGACATAAGTAATATGTAGCATGAATTGGAACTGGAATACTTACTTACTAGGAGAAGTGTGAAATAAACAGAAGGTGATGAAAGAAAACAAAGAATAATTAGATTAACAAGGGAATTGGAAGAATGATGAAGTATGGGAAGGACAACTGAAGAACGATATTGTTTTTTACTTATTTAATTACGCCTATTACTCCCAATGGAGCATAGGCAACCGACCAGCATTCTATAACCCACTCTGTCCTGGACTTTTTTTTCTAGTTCTATCCAATTTTTTGTTCATTCTTCTCATGTCTATTATTTAATTCTTTTACTAGTGTTGTTGACCTTAGTGATTTCGTTTATCGTAAGTGATTACAGTCAGTTACCCAATAGAGGAGTTTGTGAAGGATAATTTTTTAGATTTGATCGTAACTAACTCTACATGGTTAAAGTTTAAAGAAGCCGCTAAACTGATTGTTAGAAATATGTTTCTTTCATTTCAAATGATCTTTGACACATTACAGAAACTGTCTTGTTGTTTCTTCATGTTCTAACCTCTTTTTCTTTCCATATGAGTAACATTATATTAACCATACAAATTGACATATAAGCAAAGATGGATAGTGGCTAACAGTGGAGTACAGGACACGCTTTTTGTTCTATTTGGAATTCGTCAGGTTGATCTACCTGCATCACTGAGTTGCTGTTCACTCTGGAACTGGAACCCAGTACCTTTCGCTTCAACCACCATCGCGTTCTTCACTCAGCCACTTGCTTGTGCGATTGGGTGAAGTTTAAATTCACTTAGTATTGTTTGTTTGAATCCAGCTCATGAGTCCCAAATAAGACGAAATGCGTGTTCTGGATTCCACTGTTAGCCATTATCCATCTTAGCTTATAATGCTTATATGCATAGTATGCACATATGCCAATAAGAGACTGACCAGTTGCAGTACTAACACATCAATGGGAAGATTCAAACAAACAATACTAAGTGAATTTCAATTGACATATAGTTCACAAATAATAAATACCCCTCAAATTTCATTGCACTACAGTTATTGACAATCATGGTTTAGCAATATGAATTCAATTAAAGCTAGGTACTTGAATCGAATTATTGTGTGGATATCAACAATAGGATGTAAGTACAATCACTTTAGAAGTTTCAAGACGCATAATTCACGCGCCTTAAAATAACTTGTTAGCCATTGTTCAAATATGAAGTAAAACTGATCATAATGGTGACTATCAATGTAGTCTAGAATGTGTTTTTCGTCCTACTTGGCACTTGTCATCTGGTTATACCTGCTAGTCACTATCAAGAGTATCCGTTTAGAATATAAATATTCCATAAAAAAGCTTTTATCTTAATATTTGAGATCATGGGATTGTGGATGCGCACTTCTGAGGAGTCCCACATAAGGACGAAATAGCCATCCAGTGCTTCCAGGTTCTCCATGGTGGTCTAGCTTTAATTGATTCATGATTTCAACTATTAAAATTATTATAATATCCACAAAACCCCGTCTGATATTAAACTTTTATTTAGTTATTTGTTTAAACACATAAATATTAGTACAAAATGGCACCGAATACATATGCGCCTCACAGGTCACTGTGGTAATGTCTGGGTGCCCAAACCGAAGGAGGTGGTTTTCCTATGGGACGACATCCGGAGCCTTCAACCTAATGGTTTGATTCACAAGGCAGTGGCATAACATAAACAGATGAAATCACATGTTAGTCGGTGACCAACAATAGGTTCATGCGCCATTTGTTCCTTTTGAACAATGGAGCCTATATGCACCATTAATTTGGAATAAGGGTTTTCCAACTCTCCTAGATTGACCCTTCATATCCGCCGACCCGGTTAAAAACACCGGACATTCTCTCTTTTTATCCTCTCAAATTTCTATAAACAACACTTCCACCACAAAAAGGTTAGTGAGTAGGACTTCGCATGTTAGTGTAGTATCGTTTGACATATTAATCCCATATACTTTATTCTAGCTTCTGGCAAAGGCAATTCATTTATACATTATGTGTCATATTTTGATCTTGTTAATTATTCGCTTGTTGGCGTTGCTAATTCTGTTGCATGTTCGCACTTCGGGATTATCAATTCTGTTGTAAGTTCGTACGTTGAAGTTATCAATTTCGCTTCGCTTTCATAAGTCGGAATCGCCAATTATGTAATGCCATGCTTCATTAATCGTTCACTTCGATAACTATTATTATACCAATCTTAAAGGTGCATAATATCAGAAGACAAAGGGAAGCGGTAACTACATCTGTATACACATGGCCATATGAGAGTATTTCATCATACAATCTATTAATTTGACTTACTTTTTTCACTTGACGACAAATTAGTTTCCATCGTTGGTAAAGTTTTACATTTTGTCGGTATATTTAAATATTGTTTTAATTGTATACCTTTACTATATAGATTACTTTTAAGTAATGATGTTATCATATTCGAGTTTGTCTTATGTTTATTTACATTGGATAGATTAGATGATATAGATGATGTATGATTATTATTCATTTCATGGAATGATTTAGTATAATGATCAAGTTGTTCATGACTTGTAAAGATTGAATAAATATCAGACATTGATAATTGACCATTCAATGGTGTTGTTGAATTATTCAATGACTCTTTTCGCGATTGTCGTCGTCGTCGTCGTCGTTCTTCGTCTTCTTCCTGTCGTTGTCTTGCTTCACTTTTTTGTTCTTGTTGTCGTCGCTGTCGTTCTTGTTCTTCTTGTTGTCGCTGATGATCATCACCATCATCATCATCATCCATTGTATGATCAACAGTGAACCAACTTTTATCTAAACCTGATTCTTTCAAGATTTCATTAACAAGGTTTGATGGAGTAGTCTTTTCATAAGCAATTCTATTCTCTAATTCCACTTCATCTAGATTAGTTATTTGTATTTGAGGTTTGTCATTGTCATTGTTATAATCTTCTAAACTTAAAGAACTCATTGAAATAGATTGTAATGAAACATTATCCATAGTTCTTAAATTATTCAAATGAATCTGATCTAACGTATCAAAGTTGTCTTTTCCATTGGTATATACTACTGAAGTAGTATCTTTTAATGTATGATATTGTGTTGTATATAGATAATCTGATTGTAATGTCATCTGATCTCTTGTAGGTTCCACCGATAATGTAGCTGACTTCTGTTTATGTTTATGATTATTATGGGTTGTTTGGATACGTTTTTTAAATTGTTTCATTGTCCAATGATTTGTATTACGACGTGAATTTAATAATTTTGGTGATGTCATATTATGTAAATGAAATGAATCATCATTGATAGGCTTCACTTTGATCGAATTGGATTGGGTTAAAATAGATTTCGATGATTTATCAAGATGTTTCTGTTGAAGTGTTGACTGAGAAAAATATCGTTGAATGAATTTGAAACGATGAAGAAGTTTTGGTTTTGGTTTTTCATTGATTAATGAATTAGGAATTACTTCAGTCATGATTTATCGTGGAGTTTCAGTCTCCGTTGAATTGTATCAGTAAATATTAGATGCTTTGAAATAACCTTCTTATCTTCAAGTGATTATTCCATTCAACTAGTAGACGTTGAAATACTTGTCCATATGTGTGTTATTCTTTAAGAAGATCTTACAACCGGTAACGGCAAAGCTAGATGTAATAAAAAACAATAAAAGAAATGATAAATCATTGATCATTATCATAAAGGGAGTTTTTGGAGATTTAAGTAATTTTTGTATAGTTGAAAGGGTGAGTCAATTGAAGCTAGACCACCATGGAAAACCTGGAAACACTGTACGGCCGTTTCGTCCTATCGTGGGACTCATCAGTAGTGCGCATCCACGATCCTGCCTCGCGAGATTCGAACCCAGAACCTTTCAGTATCGCGCGCGAGCATGGTAGTCTAGCTTCAATTGGCTCTTGATCTCAACTATATAAAATCATTGATCCCTTATAAATAAGATACTTAATGATAGAATGAATTAAACTAAGTTGATTAGATATTAGTTGACAATATATCAGCTGAAGTACTGAAGTCATAGGTAGAAGTAACGTAAAACATGCTTCACATTCTCTTCAAGAAGATAATAGGAGGAAGAAAAACTGCCAAAGATATACTGGAAAGAAGGATACCTCATCAGCATAAAAAAAAGAAAGGAGATCTGAGTAAGTGTGAAAACTAAAGAGGTATCACAATGCTATTAGAACCGGAAGTTTTTATTAGTATTTCTGAATCTCATCGGCGATTCAATAGACGTCCAGTTACGAGATAAACATATAAGTCGTGGGCAGACAAAATCACCGTACTGAGGATCATTGTTGAACAATCAAATGAATAAAACGCGTCACTATACATCAACTTCCTCGATCAGTGTAGATAAGAGTACCTTATGGAACCTTCTACAACATCATGGACTCAGTATCTGAGATGATCTATAACACCATACGAAACTCATACGACAGACTACACTCCAATGTGGTTAATGGAGAATATTTGACAGATGCATTTCAAGAATAGGGAAAAATATATCAAAGGACAAATAGCAACTAAAAACAAATGGAAATGATTCTCCAGGATATTGGTCGAAGGGAAATGCTGCTGGGTGGCCTATGCTCCTCCACGAGGGTTAACAGGCGTATGTAAGTCGATTATATATATATATATATATATGGATGCCTACCTAATAACAAAAAAGTCATGTTTACAGATCAGTTAGTTACTCATTTTGTAAGCACATAAGAATAAATATCAAAATAGAAACGAAATACTGTGTGTAATAAAAATGGATAGTGGCTAGCGGTAGAACCCACGATATGCATTTCGTCCTATTTGGGACTTGTCAACTGGATGTACTCAAATCAATTTCTGTTCCAAATTTACATCTTAAATGGATTGTTTAGGTATAATGTTAGTACAAGTTTTAGTATATATATAGTATATGGTTAGCAGTGGAATTCAGGTAACGCTTTTAATCTCTTTGTAAACATAAATACTAGAATAATATATAAGAACTTTCGTTTAAATTACGGCAAAGAGTTTCACAGTATTTGGGCTCCAAGTTAATGTGAGACATTAAATACGAAGAATATGTACTTGTAAAACTTCAGCGAATGAATTTCAAGTAAATCCAACTTTTCACCTGGCAATCTAGTCCAAAGGATCAAGAAAATAATATTTCCAGATTGCCAGGCGAAACGTTGGCCATCCATGACCCAGCTCGCAGGACTCAGGTTCAGGACCTTCGGTCCAGCCGCCGAACTCATAACCTCTAGACCACTGAACCAGCCACTATTCAACGGTGTTAATATCTAACTTCAACCAATCCACAAAATTGCACCACCATCCACTATTGTCTTCAGTGAATTATTATCTCATAGCAGACGTGGTTGTACTCTGCTGATTACGTCTACTCACTAGAACTCCAGGAAATACCTCTTCTGACTATAATTATCATGTGCTCACTAATGACTGGCTTCAAGAGATAACTTACTTTTATTAAAATGTCTACAATGAGAGGGGTCTGTTTCTAGTAATATACATCTATTTAATCAGAAAAATTAATTTCTTTCACTATTCAATTGTTTCTATATTAAACAATCATTTAAGATGGTACTATTGTCATCTAGATAGGTAAATCCTTCCCCCCCCCTTCGATACATACACATATATTATATTATAATCATATAAAATAATTGTCATATTTAACTAATATCCAATTAATTTTCTTTTTTAATTCATGAGAAATTAATTCTAATTCTGTAACTAAGTCAATTTATTGATTGATTTAGTTGTCAAGCAAAAGTCAAATTGATTATAAATGTGCATTATTCTTCCGTTTTTTTTTGGTTTTTTTTTATATTATACACCTTTTAAAAATTTTTAGAAACTTATGCAACGCAATTGATTATTGATTATAGAATGTTTTTTTGTAACATAATAATTTTACTATTGTATATTTTATATAGTTGAGATCATGAATCAATTGAAGCTAGACCATCATGGAAAACCTGGAATCACTGGACGGCCATTTTTGTTCTATTGTGGGACTCTTTGACAATGGGAAACGACGATCCTACCTCGCCAGATGAAAATCCAAGACCTATCAGTCTCGAGCCAGAGCATTTAACCACTAGACCACTGAGACTGCCAGCATCCAACGGTGTTAATGTTTAACTTCAACCAATCCACGAACTTGAGCAACAATTCACTTATTGTCATCAATGAGTTGATATCTTCCAACAGACCTGGTTGAACTCGATTGGTTACTGCTTCTCACTAGAACTCCAATAAATACCTAATGGAGCCAGTCACTAGTGAGCATATGATCATTATCAGAAGGACGTTTAGTGTAGATTTCAATAGTTTCAATAGTTAAGATCATGAGTCAATTGAAGCTAGACCATCATGGAAAACCTAAAAAGATGAAACGGCCATTCGATACTTTCAGGTTTTCCATAGTGGTCTAGCTTCAATTGACTGGATTCAATTGCTAGCCACTATAGATCTCTGTTTATAATGCCTATGAACTAAGATAATATCGAGTCCATCCGCACAGGATGCACATATGCCAATAAGAGAAAGTTCTAAACATCAATGGGGAGATTAAATTAAACAATAGTTTATGACATAGATTTAGAATTTTAAAGAAGGATTATTCATTGAAAAGTGCATTCATCAAATTACATTTCCACCAAGATAGTAAATGTCAATCATAGAAATACATAAACATTATCGATGAAAGACACAGTTATTCAATATATTAGAAGAAGTAAACCTTTCAATGGATATTCTATAGTTTTATTTCTTTCATCAGTAATATGTTCTTTAGCGAGTTGGTTTACTACGGGATGGGGTCGCTAACCCCATACCCAACCCTCCTCATTTACCAGGGCTTGAGATTGGCAGTATCCTCCGTAGGAGCTACAGGCGGAGTTGAATATGAACAGTATATTGATTTAATTAGTTAATAGGGATAATAATTCTATTCATATATCAATGCCATAGTGTTACATTCTATTGTGGTATGGGTCACTGATATCCACATAAGTAGTATAATGGTGATGATCGGGTATTCAATGTATTTCAGTAGAAGATCAATAAGTAGAGAACGGGAACGACATGAAATTGGTACGCAAATGAATGAACAATAATATTCAGAGACTATGGACGGATATTTACTGAAGGAACAGTCTAGATTGAGACTATAGATTGTTATTTTGCACTATATGGTTCTCATATTTTAATATTGTCCTAAAATACATTCGATTGTCTCCACCACCCGTGTTCTTGTTCACCACACTATTTTTTGTTCCCATCAATCTATTTACTGATATCTTTATATTTAAATTAAAATAAACAATTTTATTTTATTTTAAATACCGCTGAAGGGGTGGAGGGGTGTGTGGGTGGGGAAAGGGTCATATATGTTACTATGCAGATGTAGGAAATCGTTTTTGATTTTAATAAATAAATAAATTAAATTTTGATAAGAATATTAAGTAGTTAGATAATGGTATCAATCTTAAATTGATATTTTCATTGAAGAGAATCAGGTAGAATATTATAATACAAGTGATATACATCATCAGAAGGGGATTTGTGGAGATTTCCGTATTTTTCAAAGTTGAAATCATGAGTCAATTGAAGCTAGACCACCATGGAAAACCTGGAAGCACTGGACGGCCGTTTCATCCTATTATGGGACTCCTCAGTAATTGAAATTAGGGGAACAATCACAAATATCATCAAGACTATACAAGTATTTATAAATAGTTGTTTACACAATATATAAAATATCCGTTGGTCGGATACCATCATTAACAACCTTCTGTGGGAGAGGACAAACTAGTTTTCAACTGATGAGTAAATCAGGAAAAGATGTTAGAGGTGGATAGGACACAAATTGATGAAAATCATCAAACTACATCACGTGGCAAGCGCTAGATCGAAATCTAGAAAGGAAACGGGAAAATCAAAGACCGAAGAACACACTGAGTCGAGAAACGGAAGCAGATATGAAAATGTTAAATAACTAAATGGAAATATATGGAAAGGATTACCCAGGACATGGTTGAATGGAGAGTGATGGTGTATGACCTATTCTCCTTTTTCTTAAAGGAACAGGCGTAATCAAGTAAATAAGATATATATCAGTTAGTATAACCAAGAGAAACTAATAAGTTTCATTACAATAATAACTGGATTAGAAAGAAATGAGAAATAAACCGTTTGACAGTTGTTGTCGTTGTTGTTGTTGTTGTTAGAGACTCTTTGGTTAATTAATTTTGATATAGTGGAGATGATTTGTAGCTCAGGTGGATGATCACGACCAAGTCATTCAGCATAGAGAACAAATCTCCATGAAAAAATTAATTAGTACGAATAGTTTTTTTTTAAAGTCAATATTCGTACTGAACAGCTGTTTTGTGATATATTTTTCTGGATTTGGAGTCAAGTGAAAGTCAACTTTTGGACTAACTGTTATGTTGTTTACTTAGGATATGTCTATAATGATACCTTCTATATTATAGAGTTATCTCTCCAAATCTTGACATGAATCAAATAACGTGTTAATTACACAGAGAAACCACTTAATAATCTCCTAGAACTGATTAGACTTCAAATTAAATCCCCAATAGCTGTTGACTTC